TAAGTCGTGCCATTTTTGTATCCTTGTTAATGATATTTTTCTTAAAATCCTTCTCGTGTTTCATATCGGATTCTATCTTCTCGTCTTTGCTTTTGGTTTCTTTAATTAATTTAGCCATCGATTTTTCAGTTATCATGTTTTTGTTCATCTTTTCTAATTTTTCTAGGGTTTTCTTGCTTTCTTCTTTTTGTTGTTTCCCATTCTTTTCCGAGTTTTCTTTGAGTTTCTTGATTTCTTCCTTCATTTCATTTACGGATTTCAAAAGTTTTACATTTTCCGTTTTTAATTTTTTAAATTCTTCTTTGCTTTCCCGGAGTTCGTTCTCAAGTTTGCCTATCTCTGGCTGGTTTCTCGTGTTATCTTTGAAGTTTTCGATCTTCTTCAAAAATTCCTTCATAATATTTTTATTTTCTTCTTGTAGTTTCATGAAATTTTTTTCACTTTCTTTTTGGAGTTTTTTCATTATTTCTGCTTGGTCTGTGATTTGGGATTTTAGTCCATTTATAATTTCTTCCAGTTTATCATTATCCTGAGTGTTCGCGTTTCGCCCTCGCTCAGCGGGCCCAGGCAACGAGTTCCTTCGATTCTTATTTTCACCCTTCAGGTCCTGTTGATTCTTCATTCCCTTAGGGGTTGAAGATCTCATCCTCTTTTGACTCAGCGACTTTCCCCTGAAGATTTGATCATCATCTTCAGAGATCTCTCCAATGGATGTATCCAAAGCTTCTTTCCTTCTTCTTTTCAATTCATTAGTAATTTCGATTTCCATTTCTGTCTCATCTTTGTCTGTCATAAGAGTCTTGTATTCTTCTGTCCGTGTTCCAGTTCCAGTTTTGTTTCTCATTTCATCCAATTCAGCCTTTAAAGTCTTGATTATATCCTTTTTTCGTGCTACAACCTCCATCAGATTTTTCCTGGTTTCTTTGCCTTTGTTGAACGTTTTCCTTCCAATCTTGAGTTCCTGAGCATCTTTGTCATTGTCCAAGTCATGAATCATATCCCTCAAAAGGTTCAGGGCGTCCACATGGTCCTTCAGGGAAGATTCAATTTTTTCTTCTTCACTCTTCTTGGATGTAGTTCCGGTTTTTTCAATTTCTTTTTCGATAAATTTCATTCGGGTGTCATAACATAGTACCTCTTGACAATCAGTAACCTGGTGTGATTGACATTTACAGGTCTTACAGTGTAATCTTCCATGTTCTAGACAGGGTTTCATGATTGAAAACCAAAAGGGGCAAGCTAATAGTGAGTCAGTCAACGCGTCGTCGTCGCGTCACGCAGGCAGGTAGACGCGGGCGCTGCGGCACGTGGCGTGGCAGCGCGGCGGGCGCGGCGGAAGCGCCAGGCGTGGCGTTTTCACACGGAGTCAGAGACACAAAAGTAAACAGTAGTGTCTCTCGGTCAAGGCCCTCAGATTGGTTATCAGATCATATCATTGATAAACGAGACTGTCCAAGAGTTTATGTGAGTCGCTTGAAAAAACTAAGTCTAAATTCTCAATTTCTAGTGAGAAAGGCAGTCATGCATTGTTCTTAAAGGTCTGATAAAACAGTCTTTGCGATTGGATAAGTGCCTATTGCTCTGGGCTGATAAAAGTTTGTTGTTGCCGTTTTTCTTTCCAAATGCGCATGCGCGTCGGAGAAAAAATTCAAAGAGTTCATGGAAATCTGGCACACATTTCGCCTCAGAGCACAGAAACACCACTCATTCGGAGTTACGCAATCACCCCGCACATCAAAAAAAAACCACAAATTCACCCCTAAAAGGGGTGAGAAACAAGAAAAGCCGTTCAGAAAAACGTTCAAAAGTCAAAGACGATTACATCGATCCATTTTCAAAAGCAAAACAGTTCGAGAGAGGTTAGAAAACGTAAAAGATCACAGAGCGTCACGAAGCACAGGTCTGGCCGATTTCACGCGCAGTTGCCAACCTTCAATTAGTCGAGTTAAGAGAGAAACTAAACACGCAATTTGGCATGGAGCGGTGCAGCAGTGATGATGAGGACTTGAGATAAAAAGGAGAAGCCCTCAGCGCGGCGCACGGTGAATCGAGTCAATGAGAGAGGTCGGAAAAAATTTGGGAACTTAAAACGCTCATAACTCCCTTTATACAAGAACCTAATGTTCTACAAGCTGTTCCACTGGTTTTCTCGTGATATTTTCTTCCAGTATCACCCCTTGAACTTTAAAATGTGACGAAATAAACATCAACATTTGCAGATTTGGTCAAAAATTTCATGTCCAACCCCTCTAATTGACTCAATCCACTGTGCGGCGGTCGGCGTGAAACGCATAACGCCTACAAGACTGTACGAATACTTCACGCATTGTGCCAAACACAGTGCGGTCAGCGCGGCACGCCGGCGGAAGTTAAAATTATTAAACCACACTTATGTTTGTTCTTGCATAATTTTTACCTTCATTTCTTACAAATGGAAGGCCTTGTTCACACATAGATAGGTTTACGGAACTTAACTTTCGCGCAAAATTCCGTGCGAACTTTTGCTAGTAGTGAGGGGCATAGTGTCCTTTCTTTTAATTTTTCTTGTTTTGCCGGTTGAAAATGCGGGTGTGATCCCTGCGAAACGTCCCGGGTTTCTTATTATATTTTATGTGTTTCTTT